TACCTTTGGCAGTTTGATTACAAGTCTGATGCCATTCAGTGCCACCAGAAGACCCTTTGCCTGCTTTCGACGTCCTCCTGCCCACTTGCTGATACCCTGTGGGTCTTTCTGCTGTCAGTTAATCGGCCCTTTCCTTGTATTCGAAGTTCACAGGATACCTTACTATTTTTATAGTAGATAATTGTTGTGCGTTTGTTGTGGTGGTGGTTACTGTTAGAGGAATAGGTAGATTCAAAACTACACGATTGCCACTTTAATCTTGCACAGAAATGATCACATTTTTAATCTCTAGAAGTTCCTTTATTCCCTAGATTTCCCCCTTTTTACATCTTCTGATTCTTGGTTTATGGGCCCAAGAACTAAGTATAATAGTGATTTAAAAACTTTTTTTTCTTCTCCTTACTTTGTCCTTATTTTCTCCAAGTTCCCTCTTTCTTATGGTTTCTACATCTCATTTTCATATCAGAGTCTTTCCTCAACTATCTTGAGGTCTTTGGTCCTCCGAGCACTTGTAGAATGAGGGGCTCTGTGTATATAGGTAGGACTTGTCAATCAGTGGGCTTCTCTGTAATTGCTTGGGCAGCACCAGATTCATTTAGTTGAGGGACTCTACACAGTCAATATCTGCAGGTTTTTTCTCTTGGGCTGGTCAGTTTCCCAGGTAGGTGTCCCCGCACCTGCCTCTATTGGGCGGGGGAAGAGGGTGATTAAGCTTGCCTGCCAGTGTGTTCCTAGAGGAACTAAAGGGGGCTTAGGGAGAGATCTCATGCTTCCGTGCACAGACTTTACTTCACCCCCTATCCAATACAGTACTTGAACCATGACCAGTGTCTCTGAATCCAGAACCTCTGTGTTTCAACAGTTTCTGAAAATAAACTTTCTATCTTTTCCAGGGCGGGGACGAGGACGGTCTCCTGTCTGCCCCGGAGTGAGAAATGGAATTTAATAGTTTAACTTCTTATACTTTTATACTAATCATCCTGTTTTCAGCCCTGCCCATTCCTACCTCTTCCTTCAGAGTTACCTGGTATAATTACTGGTTCACTTACTGAACCTCTGGGGATTCTGAAATTTGAAAAATCTGTTACCCCAAACTTTGCAGGTAATTAACTGTAAAGTCAGGTAAACATACCCTCCTCATGCTCTCTAGATTCCAAAATTTTGTTGGAATCTGTCCACTTCTCTTTATCCTTACAGATTCATGAAGTGATTGTGTTTTTTTAATTCCTTAATTGTTTAAATGGGGTTCAAAAGGAGTGGAGGTAAACACATGTTTACCTTTGTCATCTTTTTAATAGAAGTTTTGTCATCCTTTTAATACATCCCTTTTCTGCTTAAATTAATTGAGAATAGTAATACTAACTAATGCTAGAAATATATCTACAATAATATGTTTTCAAGGCAAGAGGTCTGAATAGGGCTGAAGTAAGCCCATCAGACATGCAACTCAAGACACTGCCGCCAGAATGCTTCAGAGCTGAGTGACTGAAGTAAGTTTTTAAAAATTACCTAGGCTTTTTACTTTATACTTATTAAAACTTATTTAGACATTCAGGTATGGATTTTTAAAAATCATGTCGTACTTGTACATACATAAGAAGAAAAATAAAAGCAGAAATTGATTAAGGTACTCTTAAAACTTCTTTACATTTAGAGTCCTAGCCACCTGAATCATGTTTTTTAAATATATTTTTAAAAAATGTTTAATTGTAGTAAAAAAGCCCCACATAATATAAAAGTTACCATCTTAACCATTTTTAAGTGTGCAGTTCAGTAGTGTTAAATATATTCATATCGCTGTGCAACAGATCACCAGAACTTTTTCATCTTACAAAAGTGAAACTGTGCAGATTAGACAACTCCCCATTTCCTCCTCCCCCAAGCCCCTGGCAACCACCGTTCTACTATCTGTTTCTATGAATTTGACTGCTTTATATACCTCATGCAAGAGGAATCATACAGTATTTGCCTTTTTTATGACTGGCTTTCTTCTCTTATGTCCTCAAGTGTCATTCATGTTGTAGCATGTGTTATGCTTTTTAATAAAGTAAGTTTTGTGGAGAAAGAAAATGCATTTCCCTCTAAGAAGCAACACTGAAAATATGATTTACTCTGAAAACACTGGATCAAAAATTTTAAGGCCTTTGAAAGCATTCCTCAAAAATGCTTTAAAATATACATTAAGCCTGAAGTGAGAGAGTGGCATGGACATATATACACTACCAAACGTAAAATAGATAGCTAGTGGGAAGCAGCCGCATAGCACAGGGAGATCAGCTTGGTGCTTCGTGACCACCTACAGGGGTGGGATAGGGAGGGTGGGAAGGAGGGAGACGCAAGAGGGAAGAGATATGGGGACATATGTATATGTATAGCTGATTCACTTTGTTATAAAGCAGAAACTAACACACCATTGTAAAGCAATTATACTCCAATAAAGATGTTAAAAAAATTAAAATAAAATAAAATATACGTTAAGCCTAAACCTAAGGATGGAAAAGAAAAAAAAGTATACCTCACTTTTACAAAAACAAAAATCACTTCAGTGCAAGAGAAATTACATGCCAAATATGTATTATCCTTGGGGTTTCATGGCAAGTAACCTTACCTACTGATAATACAGTAAATATGATACGGTAACTACTCTGTTAAATGCCAGCCATTAGTTTTCCCAGAGGGCTCTTAAGTGAATGCCTCTGATCCTGGGAGGAGAGGCAAAACCCTAGTTTTTAGTTGCTGTAGTCTGGTTATGTTGTGATCTGAAAATTTCCCCAAATTCGGTTTCCAGGATTTACCTTCACAGAGTAAAACCCAGTGCAGAGACAAGGGGGAAGCCATTCTTAAAGCTCGAGTTGGTGTGGGAAGCCTGAGTACTTGCACAAGTTTGTATATAAAGAGAAATGCATTTTGAAAAAAATTCTTTTCTAAGCACGAGCATGGTAACCTACTGCTTAACCCACTGTATATTAAGAAACATGCAGGTGCTCTCCCCCTTGTTCTCACAAATCTGCCTTTCTCGCACTTGTTCCTTTTCTGGTTCCCTGTTAGCTCTCAGTTGCTTCCTTCTCTTGCCTTCCTCTCCTTTCTGCCTTCCTTGTTCCCTATGGTATTTTGTTTCCTCTCCCGATCACTCAAGTCCTGTGTACTTTCTGACCTTCCCTGGCTCCCTGGTCTTTCCCATCCTGCTCTGTGGTGTACTCATCTGCACATAGAACCCAGCGGGGCCTCACCAGCTGGGTGGAGTTTCACTTGGGGAAATTACCACATCCTGGAGCGCCATCCAGCAGTGTTTTCTTAAGACGTGGGAGATGGAGTCACAGCAACGGTGGGGGGGGGGGGGGGGGGGGGGAAAAAAAAGAATTTACTGTGATGGCTCTCCAAAGAATAGCAGTGTATAAACCTCCCAAAGGTGAAAATGAGTGAAACTGACCATAGAGGTAAGTCTTGGGTGGGAGCCAGGGGACCAGTGAAAGGAAAAGTGCCCCCCGGCGTGACGGTGGGATCAGGATGGGGCAGTCAGGGCAGCAGGTTGTGGCTGGATTCACAAGCTGAAGGTCTCTCTTTCCCACCCACCCTACTGAGGCTCCGTCAGCTACGGGGCTGTGGCTGGGACACCTGTCTGGTTCCATTGCTGTCTGTTCCTGCGTGAACCTGGTGGGCCGGATCCTGCTTCTAGGTTGGAGAAAAAAAAAAAAAGGATGCCCAGTTGTGACTTCTAAAATAGTACTCCGGGTATATGGAACATTCCATCCCCCAAGCAGGGAGGTGGGCTCTGCAAAGTCATTTTGAGGATCCCCTCGTGCAAAATGTTTCTTGAACCATTCTGGAACATTGTAAGACCTATTTTATAGGGAGGAAGCCATGAACATTGTAACTTTAAGAATACCTATTAGGCCCTAGCCTAAGGACAGAATCTAAATTTTATTAACAGAATCTAAAATTCCATTTATAGTTTCATCCCTTTAAGTCTTGAACCCTCCCTTAAAATGTAAGCAAATCCCCAGAGGGATTCATAGATTGACCCTTCTGAATCTTGAGCCTCAAATCATACCAGAACTACCCCTAACCTCCATCCTCCATTCTTGCTCCAGGCAAACCAGAATTCACTCCTAGAGGCAACCCCAGGCTCCTTTAGATCTTCATACCTGGAAGTTTCTGAGCCTGATTTTTCTTCCTGGGACACTTCCCCCTCTCTCCTCTTTTTAGCTACCTCAGTTCTTCAAAACCCAGGCGATGCCACTCATTGTTCAAAGGCTGTGCTCCAAGACAGGCTTGGTCCAACTGTGGGTTCCCTGACGACGTGGGTCTCTCCTCCCTGACAGCCCTTGCTCCAGTGTAACCATCTTTCCACCAGGTTAAGACTTCAGCGACATGAGCTGTGTCTTGTTTATCATTGAATCTCTTAGCATCGAGAACAGTGAGTTCTGTTTATGGAGTGAATTAATTCTTTACTGCCAATGAGTTTTTATGGGGTGTGGGTGAAGGGCTGCAGTAGAGAAGGTGAGAATGCCAAGAGAAAAAGAAACGGTAAGCCAGGAGATGCGACTGGGGTCCCTGGAAGCAGACTCCTCTGGCCCTTTGCAAAACTGTCGCCCAGACAGCTCAGAGGCATGCCAAGTGCTCTGACACTCTCTCTCCCGGAAGGTAACTTTAACTGACTGTTGAAATTTTAAAAGTATTGACACATTTAATGCACTTGCCAAAGTGGTGTTTAATGAATTGTATCTCACAATAAAATAGGGCAAAGTTTAAAACTCAAATTTGCTTTGGATTTCTATCTGCTATCATCTGTTAGTTCCAGGACCCTGGGTTGCATCATTCTCATTTTTACGTTAAACACTACCAGCAAGAAAAACAGAAAGTAAGGGGGAAATAAAGACAGGTGTAGGGAAGTTAGGATTTCACACAGGCTTGACAGACTCTTGTTTTCTTCTGAAATCCTAGAAAACAGAAAACCACAGGAAGATAGCTTATTGAGAAAGACCCCCTTCAACTTGTCCATGAGTCAAACAGGGAACAAGAGTTCCTCAGATGGAGAAACTAAACCCCAGACTTTATTTGTCAACAAATGCATCAGGGGGTCAAAATTCAGGTCCCCCAAAGCTGAAAACAGAAAAGAGAGCAATGACCTTAAAACAACTGCTTTTCGACCCAGCGACGAGACACCGAAACCTAACATGATGAGTCTGTTCTAAACATTTATTTTGTTAAATGCTTTAAATAATTTGCTCATTTTACTTTTTAGGTTTGGCCATGCCACACGGCTTGCGGGACCCCAACCAGGGATTGAACCCAGGCTCCCAGCAGCGGAAGCGTGGAGTCCTAACCACTGGACCGCCAGGGAATTCCCCTCACTTTCTTTTTAAATTATCAAAAGTAATATGTTGCAGAAAGGTTTAGAGAAAAATACCCTCTTTCCTTTCATTCTAACACAAATGGTCATTTCTTCAAGATTCTTTTCAGCCTTTTATTCCTATACATGCATTTATGGTCAACCAACAAGTCAAACACTGAGCATCTGTGCCAATCACTTTTATTAGAAGGACAGCCATGAAAAAGAGAACATTTGCGTACATAAAGAACCAAAAGCAGATATAATTTCAGTGTGATAAGTCATATGAAGACAAAGTAGGCTGAGGAGACAGAGAATGATGGGCTGGGGGTGCTATTTTAGATGTGGTTGGAAGGAAGGAGTCTCTGATTCGGTGGCATTTGAGCTGAGATCTGAAAGTCAGCCACGTAGAATGAATGAAGCCAGCTACACAGGTGTTTGTGGGAGTAGTTTTCCAGGCAAAGGGATGCGTAAATGCAAAGGCCCAAGATGGGAGTGAGCCTGGAGTGCTTGAGAGCAAGCCAGGAGGTTAGGCATGCTGAAGCAGGATGAGAGATGGAGAGAGGATGAGTAGTAGACCAGTCAGAGAGGTAGCTGGGGCCAAACGGACGTACTTTGTATGGTTATAAGAGCTTATAAAGCCCGCTTCATCTGACACGGAGCTGTGATCCTACTGAGACATATTATTATACTGCTCAGTTCTCATATTGTTACGTGATGTTCATATGCTAATTTTGACAGTGGCATAATATTCCATTACATGCCTATGCCATAATTACTTAGGTTCCTTTTCTGCCCTTTAGTGAATATCTTTGGCTTCCCCTCTCCCCTATTTTCTGCTTTAGTCTGTTTCAGCTAATTAGCACACATTCCCAGAACAGAGGTGACAAATACAAGGGTTATGAAAATATTGCTAAATCTCTCTCTAAAGTTATGTCATATACAATGCCGTCACTATATTATTAGATTAAATGTATTTTTAAAACACTTTAAACTTTTTATGCAAACATATACAAAAGAAGAGAGAACAGTATGAGTCCCCAAGACCACCTCCCTCTAACAATTACCAATCCATGGCCAATCTTGTTTCATTTAAACTTACCCTCATGTCCGTCAGATTATTTGCACCAAATACCAAAAATATCATTTTACCTGTAAGCAGATTGAATGCATTTTTGGAAGTAGAAAATTAAGAAGTCTACCTTTAAAAGAGGGCAGTCAGAAAGTTGTTGATATTTGTTCTAAAGTATGATTTGGAGCTTCAGGAACATGGTTCATGGATACCCACAACCATGATTAAATTAACTGCGCAAGACCAGTCAGCTGGTTACCCCAGCTGGGCAACACCATGCATGGCTTCTCCATTTCCATTTCTCCCCAAGTCCAGTGGCCCCTGGAGTCATGTGAATTCTGTCCTCCGAACAGCTCTGGGACCTCGTTCCTTCTCTCCGCTGCTGTCCTGGCTTTCATCGTCTCTTGCCTGGACCACTGCCACAGCTTTCTCCCTGGTTTCTCTGCTCCTGGTCTTGCTCTGTGGCCAGTCTGTCCTCCACACTGCTACCGGGTGCTCTTTCTAAACCACAGATACTGTGGTGTCTCTCACCGGTTTAAAATCTTTCACTGAGTCTTTCCTGCCTTGAAGAGAAAGTCTATACTCGCAAGCATGGTCTTCAAGGTGTTTGTGATCAGTTGAATATCTCTTCACAACCTTTGCCTTCCCCCCAATCTTATGTTCATCCTCTACTCCTGACATTCTGACTGACTCTCTCCTGAACTGGCCACATTCCCCTGAAATGGGTACCTGTGCCTAGAAAGACCTACCCTTGTGGCATCCTCCCTCTGCACCCCTCCCCCATTTATTCCTCTCTCATGTCCACCCACCTGGCTGACTTTCACTCACCCTTTAAGGTGCAATTTATCTACCACGTTCACCTGGAAGCTTCCCAAGACGCACCCACTGGACTTTGGACCCTCTGTGGCTTTCTTGTCTGCTCCATCAGACAGGTAGCTCCTTGGCAACAGGAACTTGTTACCTTGGTTCCCTGTACAGCATCACCCATGTTACAAACATGTAAAAGTGTTTTATGAAAGCATCGGGATTCTTGGTTGTAAACAACGGAAACAAGCCCCTACAGGTTTAGCTTGGAAAGGAACCTAATGAGAAGATACTGCTTGGCTCACAGAATCACCTGGAGAAGCAAGAGCTCGGTTCAGCAGTAAAGCCGCCAGAAAAGGCCCCGAGTCACTCCATGGAGCTGCTTACGTGTGGTCACTTTGCACCCTCCATGGAGTGCCAGCCCTCCCTCCTCAGCCAACCTGTAGCAGCTCTGACTCGTCTGTTTTATATAATGAGGTATGACATAAGATATTTTTTGAAGGAAGGGGTTTATAGATTAAAAAAAAGAAATATATGGCCTGTAAGGAGATGTCCAGGGGCCTCACAAACTGGTACTCATATTTATACTTAGGTGGTTTGATAAAGATTTGTCATCTTGATTTATTTTGGTTATTGAGGAACTGTAAAACTAATATTCATTCATTCATTCAGTTATTTGCTCGTTCAACAAATGTTTACAAAGTGCCTCTGATGTAAAAGGCATTGCAGAGTCCCATCTTCCTGGGAGGCCTCAGTAACTTTAAGTCACTATGCTCCTGAGAAATGAACCGGGCAGGAATTATAATTTCTATTTTATAGATGAGTAAACCAAGGCTCAGAGAAGTTAAGTGACTTGCTTACCTGATGGACCCACGAGTTGAACCAGGTTTTCCCGTTGTGCTGCCTTGGACTTGCCAATCATGTAAATATTACAGAGTGCCCAAGTAGGCTGTGGTCTGAGAAGCGATTTCTGAATCTGTCAACTGGTTGGTTGGTGGACCGCACCCCACCAGCCTGCAAATCTTGTAGCTGCTCAGCCTTGAGACCAAAGAAAAAGCCTGGAGACAACAACAGAGACATCAAAGCTCATTGGTTAAGGGGCATCTTACACAAAGGTCCTGGAGCAACACTCCTTCCACGGATGGCCGGCAGCAGACAGGACATGGCAACAACCTCCACTACTTGGTGGAGAAGGAGGCTACCATTTATAGGGGGACTGATGTCAGGTGGGCTCATCAGTTACCACGGAAACCAGCAGTAGGGGCAGGGGGCAAGCACGGCAGGCAGTTACTGATTAAGCCCTATAATTAAGAGGATTGGAGAGTCATGTGAGTGAAGCAGGGCCTGGTGGAACAGGGGATGGATGGAGAGCAAGAGAACAGCCATCTTGAATGGCCTGACCATACGTAGGTCATTGGTGGTGACCCCTGAGAAACAATTTATTTGGCTAGGCCAGTGTGGCAACCAGAATGTAGAGGGTTAATTGGTAACTGTGGTGAAGAAGTGGGGTCAGCAAATACAAACCATTCTTTCCAAACATTTGACAGTAAAGGAAATGATTGACAGAACAGTGGTTTGAGGAGAAAACAAAGAAAAAGAAGGTTTGTTGAGGCTGGAACTTGAGCATGATTGTAGGTTGAGCCTATGGAGACAAAAAGCTAAAAAAAAAAAAGAGAAAGCAATAAGATACAATGCAGAGAAAATTTTTTTAAGAACAAAAGTTTTAAAAAGCACCTGCACATAATGGGCTTTGGAGTCAATTGCTCTGGGTTCAAATTCTGCCTCTGCTGCTTACTACTTAACAGTCTCTCTGAGTCTCAGTTTCCAAATCTATGAAATAGTGTACTTGTGACTCTTTGCATTAAGTTTACACAAAGTGCCCTGTACTCACATCCTCCATCCACAACTCTCCTCACCCCAAATTAGGGTTGCCAGAAAAAATACACACAATATTTGGGACATACTTTTACTAAACAATGATTCCTTGTTTACCTGAAGTTTAAGTTTAATCGGACGTGCTATTTTTATTTTTCCTAAATCTGGCAACCCTACCCAAAACAAAATACCTTGTATCCAATGTACCATAATAAAAATTGAAGGCCAAAATGAAGAGGTAAATGGTAGGTGGATGATGCTGCCTCCTACTGGTAGAATGTGACAACACCAACTATCCCCGCAAAGATGTACAGCCTGTAGGTGGTTTTCTTAAAAATAGCAAGCCACCAAGAAAACAAAACAAAACAAAGCAACAAAACAAAACAAATCAAAAATAGCAAGCCACCAGACACACTGTGGAGGAGAGGGGGAATTTTTATTATCCTGCTAATATTTTAGTCTAAATTTACTACTGCTGTCATGCCATCATCTTTTCATTTCCACTGGTACTAATATATTTCTTTTTTGCTATGTGGTTGTATACATTTTGTCAGGGGTAGTAGAGTATTACTGCACATTCAGAATTTATGCTTTCCTATTGGATTCCAGTATACTCTTTGCATGTGTTTTTAACTGTGCATTTTCACTTGCAAAACCTCTTTAAAGTCACTGTCAATACATGCCTATTCATTTTTCTTTACAAAAGTATGATGTGTTTCACGTGTGTCTTAAATGTTGACACATTCAGTAGGTAAAGCCCTGGTACATAGTAGGCACTCAAAAATAAAAAGCTATGATTTTATAGAGTGCCTACTTATTTAACTTTTAAAAATTATAGTGATGGGCTTCCCTGGTGGTGCAGTGGTTGAGAATCTGCCTGCTAATGCAGGGGACACGGGTTCGAGCCCTGGTCTGGGAAGATCCCACATGCCGTGGAGCAACTAGGCCCGTGAGCCACAACTACTGAGCCTGCGCATCTGGAGCCTGTGCTCCGCAACAAGAGAGGCCGCGATAGTGAGAGGCCCGCGCACCGCGATGAAGAGTGGCCCCCGCTTGCCATAACTAGAGAAAGCCCTCGCACAGAAATGAAGACCCAACACAGCCCAAAATAAATTAATTAATTAATTAATTATTTTTTTAAAAAAGTAAATCCTATTTTTAAAAAAAAAGTTGTAGTTATATCATGTAGTGTGGTATTATTACAGTGGAACTTGGTAAGGGTGCCACTTAAAAAGTCCCTAATAACGAGGACACATGAGGCTTTCTGAGTGTATTCTCTGGCAGGAGTTGAGAAAATACAAAAGCTCTCCCAGGGACTACTCTCTCCGGATGTGTCAATTGAGGGGTCTAGGAAATGAGCAGCAAGGGTTTCACTCGCTCTCTTTAGCCATCTGAGGCTCATCAGTGGTGACTGCAGTGCTTCCCCTTCCTCACCTGTCTGGTTAGGAGGCCAGTGCCTGGGCATACCCCCAGCATTACATTCACCAAAGATGTTTGTGCATCCTTCCAGCAGCGCTGTCTTAAACGCTGTAATAACAAGTTTACCTCTTTTTTTTTTTTTTTGCGGTACGCGGGCCTCTCACTGCTGCGGCCTCTCCCGTTGCGGAGCACAGGCTCCGGACGCGCAGGCCCAGCGGCCATGGCTTGTGGGCCCAGCCGCTCCGCGGCATGTGGGATCTTCCCGGACCAGGGCACAAACCCGTGTCCCCTGCATCGGCAGGCGGACTCTCAACCACTGCGCCACCAGGGAAGCCCAAGTTTACCTCTTTGTCCAGGAGCAAAGCTCCATCTACATGCAAGAAGCCCAGGTCAGGCCAGGAAAGAAAAGCCACTGAGTTCCTCAGGCTCCTTTGTAGGAAACGGGTCACTGGAGCGGCCAGTGTTGAGCACCGACCGCAGGAACAGAGGTCAGGTTTTGTCCCCTTCTGAGGTGAGGTTTCACAAGGGACCAGTTCAGGGTTGTTGTCCGTCTTCTCACTTGTCTTATGGTGATCATTATGCATCTTTTAATACACTCTGTCATTCACAGCACATTTTTCTTTATTTTTATAATACAGCTAAGACTATCACTTCAGAAATGGAATTAAGACCCAGGATGGAGGAAAAAAACCGTTCCCGCCGAAGTTGGGCAAAAACCCTGTCGACAAGTGTCTAGATTTGAACAACTGTAGACTAACAACAGCGGATGTGAGGGAGCCAGGTCTGTATGGAGTTGACCTTGTGCAGAGGCACAGAGGGCCTTCGGGCTGGGATGAGCAGGGAAAGTGCTCGGTCCTCACTTGATAGTGCTAGGTCTGCAGGGTGGCCCAGACAACTCAGGAAGCGCAGATGCAACGCTATTTTTTTTTTTTAAACAAGTTAATTGATTCTTCCTCAAGCTTCAAAGATTTGAGCCGAGTTTAAGAGGGAGGTTTGTTTGTTTTTCCTGAGCAATTTTACTTCTTATTGATTACCTCTAGCTCCCTGAAACACACCTGTTCCTGCATCGGATGTATACTCATCCATAAAACTGAGCCCTGCTTGGAATTTAAAGGGGCATCTCGTTGTTATCTGTGGAATGAAAACTATCACTACCAGCAATTATTGCTCACACCGTTTTACACAAAAATGCAACTACTGTTTGTGACACTGTAGCAGGAGTTTGGTTGTGAAGAACCATCTTCCCAACACCACTGTCACCACCTTTTTTAAAAACTCTCTTTTTTCAGATACCTTAAATCAAATCTTGAATCAAATTAGGTGTGTCTACCAACAGAGGTATCAAAAGAACTGCGTTTTGAGTGAGGGGTCCTTGAGTATTTTAATTAAAATCCATGCCATTATATTTGAGACAGATCTCTTACGAGGGAGCTCTCACCATGCCTGTGATTCTCAATGCCTATGTACATGTCAGAATCTCTTGCAGAACTTGTGGAAATGCAGGCACTTGAGTCCAACCCAAACCCACCGAATTGAAATCTTTGACGGTGGGCCCCGGGAATCCTGTTTTTTTCCTTCTTAATGTGTTCAATAGTCTTTCATACTTTATCAAGTTAGGATCGTGGTGAACAAGACGAAGTTGCTAAAGTGCTTTGAATGTTAGTAGAAAGAAAACATATTTTTTTGCCCCCTAAGCATGTTTTTAGAATTTCTTTGGAATGGTGGAAGGTCAGGAATTGCTATGTCTGTAACTCTAGAAGCTCACCATGCAGCATCTGACTGCTGACACTATTTTAACATTCAAGACAGATGTTTAAAAGCAAGCAAGCAAAGACACTTTCACCCCCTGACTTTGGCATTTCCACTCTTAAGTCTTGTTGCTGCAGGAGATAAAGATGACCTTTGAGAATCTTGTTCACAGAGAGTAGCTTCAATTTTCGTGAGCAATGGAGGAGACTCAGAGAAGATTCTGGTCAGGGTTTCTGTGTCTAAACCTGCACATGTTGGCCCATGTAGGTATAACAGGAACTTTATAAAGTGGTGACACCCAGGTGATCAAGATAAGAAAGAAAAGGTAACGGGCACCCTCAGTCTCAGCGGTCCTGCCAACGGAGTATTCCCCAGACCTTCAGCCTGAGGGTCCAATAGGACAACAGGGTGACGGGCGTCAGGGGGGTTTGCGAAATAAAAGGACCCGTATACACTTTACAGTGACAGTGGTAGTAACAGTCCTAGCAGTAGAATTACAATTTCCACTACAATAAAGGAGTTCTTATGAAATCTTATGGAAACACCACCGCATTTTCAGAGTGCAGTTATTTGGCAGAAATAGAAAACGTCCCAAGAAATAGGTAAAGTAAATGTCACAATGTCTCCAGTTGTGCGGCTGAGAGATCCCTGCTTTGTGGAAAGTCAGCAAGTCCACCCTCCTTCTATCCGCTTACCAGAGCAACAGGCAGTGGATCCTATTGACTACAAATCACAAATTACACATGCAAATCTGTTTTTTCTTGTGTTCCCTTCTACTTGCTTTGCTGCCTTCTCTTCCAGACTTGGAAGAACTGGATATTTCCTGGGATGATTTCATAGGCAGAACCCTTCATTTACTCATGCAGCAAATGCATCTTGTCAGCAAGTTAAAAATCCTGAGGCTGGGTAGATGCAGACTTACTGCTGATGATGTTCAAGCACAGGGTATGATGAATGCTTCCCTTAAGAGATGGCTCCCCTGGAAGGATCTTTGCAACCCAAACCCTCAGGGGCGAATTATCTGGGTCACCACCCCCTCAAGTGCCCATGGACGAGGATGAGAGTGCTGCCTGTACATGATGTGATGCTGTGTTGAGCTCTTGTATACCTTCTAAGGAGCTGTGTAACCTGCACCTAGCATCGTGCTAAGCCCTGGGACAGAGAAGGGAACAGGCTGACCAAGCCTCTGTTCTCATGGAGTTTAAGTGGAGATAGTAACTGTAGAATTTGCTCACTTTGGGTCTGTTACCTCATCTGTAAATTAGAGGAGCTGGGATAGATAATAATTAAGTTCTTTTCCAATTCCAAAATAGTATTTCTCTCTTCTATTTTCCCATTCCTATTTTTTAAAAAATGATCAAAACAAGATCTTCCAATTAAAAGCAATGATTTAAATAGGACTAGAACCTCAATTAAGTTAGTTTATAGTATATCAAACATTGGATAACATAGAACATAAGATAAAATTTGTCATGCTATTAACCCAGCTGCTTTACTGGGTTATGAATGCTGGGTTATCTAGAATGCTTGCTGGTTTTAGATGCAATTAATACTTTTTCTGTCTTCTTTTTGTCTGAAGTTTCTTATTTCGATCATGTATTTTGATCATTTAAATCTCTGCAAAGATTTCTGTAAAAGCAACAAAATTTATGCCAATGTCTTCTCTCTAATCCTTCCCTAGAAAATAGGGGCCAGCTGATGTTTCCTGGTTCACCCTTCCTATAGCTAAGGAAAAACGTTATACATCTCAGAGCTGGCCAGACCCTTTCAAATCCTAGTCCCACTTCTAATTCTCTTTGTGACCATGGACAAAATACTTAACTTTCTGAGCCTCAGTTTTATTATCTCTGAAAAGGGGTGATATCCACCTCAAAAAAAATTATGGTGAGCATTAAATCATTTCTGTAAAGTACCTACTATGTGCTTGACACATTAGTAGGCGCTCAATAATTCTTTCTTTCCCTATTCCCTCATCCAAAATTACCTTTCTGTGGTTTTTCATGATCAATTTAGTCCCACTGGTTAGCAGCTGGTTATTGTGTACCAGGGTCTCAAATTTAACATACTGTTACTCAGTCATGAAGAGAAGTATAGATTATTTTCTATGACTAATCTAATCTTTTTTCATGATCCACCATCCTTAAGAAACCAGGAAGTGGAATTTCTGCCCTGGGACCCACTCTAAACTCATCTGGTCCAGGAGAGAGTCTGCACCCTTGTCACTAATGTTTTGTGTCCTTTCCCCTCTCCCCGAGATTTTATCCTCTCTGGAAGGACTTCTGCATCCTCTCCACCAGGAGGGGCTATCTTATCATCCATACTCTGCTTAGCCTTAATGGCAGATGGAGTATAAGGAGAATGAATGGTTTACTGATAAGAAAACGTAAATCAGAGGCATTTCAACATTATTGCACCTGTTACAGTTGCTTAGTGCAAGATTGCAAATGCCTAGGCCCTCCAGTACCATATGCGCTGCAGACAATCATGTACTCTTTCTCCCTGATCCTGGGGGATGCCTCAGGGCAATACATATCCACGCCCCTTTGACTGGCCACGGCATACAAAATGACACCTTTTTATCCCTGGCTTATGATATTATAACTCCTGGAGAATTTGCATTTTAACCTGAGGCTCCTAGACTCCAAAAACCTGAAACCATGGAATAAATAACCAGTGGCAGAAGTTCCAGACCAGTAGTGGACGGTGGAAGAGAGGCTTCTGGACACAGTGGACCTTCCAACACTCTTAACTGGTGCTAAAATTGACTCCAGACATTGAGAAAGCACCTTTGTCATGTGTGTGGCTCACCATCCTGTTCTGCCCCCAAAGCAGTGAAAATTATTCCTAAGGGCTGATCTCCCCACACTTCCCCTGTTCTCTCCCAGCTTCCACTCTGTAGCCCTCAGATGTTTCCTGTGTGAAATGGTATCAGAAATGTCAAGTTTCACCCCCCTCACTGTATCCTCCTCCACCCCAAGGTTGCATCACTGTTATGAGCTGCTAGTGCCTGATGCTGTCTTACTGGTTCCTCCCTGCAGTGGTTGGATCAGTTGTATGTGATATTCTTGATGTCAAAGTGAGCTTTTCCTCTGTGGTGGCCAGTGCCCTGCTTTGCTTCTACCAATCTTCCTCTGGCCAAAATATAAACAGTGGTTACGCTGGGGGATAGTATTATGGGTGATTTAAATCTTCTTCATGTTTTATTTTCTAAGTCTTTCACACTTCTACCTCTGGCCGAGCTTCTCAGCAATGCTGATCCCCGGAGAAGGTGGATGAGAGAAAGTAGATGGATTGGTAGAAATATTTACTACCATGAAAACAATTCGGTAAAACCACCCCTACTAACAGGTGGATTTTTTTTTTTTTTTTTTTTTTTTTTTACACAACGTTTGCTTACGAGCATGGCTTCAGAACTCTGGAGGGACTAGACTTGCTGTGCCTGTACCTGTAGAAGCTCACCGTGCTGGGAGTGGGCAAGAACTGGGTCCTTTTCTCCTCCCTGTTCCCTGGCATCTAACCAGTAGCTGGCCCGGCTTCAATACTCCGTAAACAATGGCTGTATTGATTTTGAAACGAATTCCCTGCTTTGCGGATTAGCGATCAACCTGATCTTTGGGCCATTTTGTAACAGGAGAAGCACTTAAAGCGCTGCCTGAACTTGAGTTGAATTTGTCCTGGAACAGTAAAGTGGGAGGAAACTTGCCTCTGATCCTCCGGACATTCCGAGAAGGGAGCAAGATACAAATGCCTGAGCTTGTGGACTACGCCCTCACGTCAGAAGATGGGGCGTTTGTGGGTAAGTGGAATTTGGAAGAGTCCTTCCCAGGAAAACATGTGAAGGCACCCATGATTGGATAGCTTGGAAATCAACGTTGGCTGTGTTTTCTCTCACCCTGAATTGAAAGAGTGGTTCACTATATCCCAGGTCACATGAAGATGTACCTCCCTCCTGCCTGCCCCAACTTTCACACGCTGCATCTTTACTGAGTTGTCTTTTGGATTTCCTTCCTTCCAGGTCAGTTGCTACTTAGGCTGCAAAACCTTGAAGTACTTGATCTTTCTATTAACAGAAACATCGGTGGCAGTCTCAACAGTATTGCTCAGGGATTAAAAAGTACCTTAAATCTGAAAGTCTTGAAGTTACATTCATGTGGGTTATCACAAAAGAGTGTCAAACTACTGGGTGAGTTAGGAATGGCTAAAGTTTGTATATAACTTTACATTATACGGAATTTTTAAGCTGTTAGGAAATACAACAAAACATAAACAGTGGTTATGTTGGGGAATAAGATTATGGATGATTTAAATCTTCTTCATGTTTTATTGATTTTCTAAGTCTTTTACAGTGAGCATGTACTTTCATGATTACAAAAATAATCTTTTAAAACGGCTGACTCTGAAAAGGCCAGGATATTTTAGGTCTGAGAGAGACACTGTGCAAAATAAGTGTGCTACTAAAGCTGTCCATTTTTCTCTTACTTTTGAAAATGGCAGCATTATTTTATGCTTAGTAGTAGGAAGGAATTGGTATTGCTAAAAAGAACAGCTTCAGTGACATCTGTAGTTAAAATTGACTCTGTATAGAGTATCCACATTAAAGAATAGGAAATGAAATGTGTATCTATCCCTTCAACTTCTAGAGCCTGTAAAATCCTTCTCCCTGGCAGTTTGAATAAGTCTAGAATGCTATGACAGCACCAATGCTCAAGGATAGCAGGGGAAGATTCATTAGTTGAAAGATTTTGATCAAAACCATTGATGATCAATGCAGATCCCAGGGAGTGTGTATTTGAAGCCATTGTCAGGTCCGAAGGGGTAGATGGTACAAAGTGGACAGTTATCCCACTGTCTGGGCTTTTGTCAACATAGTGTACATATTGTCTCAGTCTCCCTTCTCCACACCTGCCCCCTCTCCTGCCGACCGCCTTGTAATATGTCAGAATGGGGTTCTGACCTTCTTTGTAGATGCTGCTTTTAGACACTTGTGTGAGCTGAGGACGCTAGACATTTCCTGCAACAAGGAGATGAGTGGAGGGTTTGAAGACTCCCCGGGGGTGGCCGTGCTCGAGCATCTGGAGGGGCTGGATCTTCACCAGTGCTCGCTGATGGCCGACGACGTGATGTGGCTGAGTAGGTACTGCAGAGCCGAGGGAGGACTCTTGGAGCCTTGCCATGTGTTTGCAAACCTGGCAAATTTGAGATGTGCTGTTTATGAAGTTACCAGAAGGACCACATCATAAAAGTTTTGTGAAGGCTCCAATATAGTATTTGGCAAATATTAAGTGCCCAGTAATTGTTGGTGAATCTAAACTCCTCCTAGACATATCTGTAAAGGACAGATGTGGCACTTGAGGGAGAAAATTTTTGAATGTATGTGGCTGTTTAGAAACGGATCTGTTACTGTTACAAAGTGGATTACAAATAGGGATGTAGAAGGAAAGCCAAAATGGAGGGTGTTGAGTCTTTCTCGCTAATCAAGTGAAGCCGAGGCACTTAGAAACAAATGAAGTTACAGAAAGTCAGTGGGACGGTGCATGACGGGTGTACGTTACAACTTCAGGTCACTACGCTTACTTTCCTACCACAGACATAGTCCTGTAACCTGTCATGTATAAGTGCAGTTTCCCCGAACAAACAGCAAGCGTACGCTTGAGATTAAGGGTTTTATTCCACCTACAGCCAAAATAAACCTTCAGAATGCATCAAGACTCTGACCGTGGCTTACCATCTAGACCTCTACTACCCTGGTCCAGCCCGCTGTCACCTCATGCCTAGATTATTACAAGAGTCCAGATGGTTTTCCTGCTCCTCTGTCACTCTGACTGCATTCTCTCTTCCTTCCCCGCATTGGCTACTCCAGCCACAGCATGTGTGCTGACGCTCGTGCACACCAGCCGTGCTCTGCTCTCCCTCCGTACTACGGGCTCCTCCTGCGTAGGGATTTTTTTTTTTTTTCAGTATCTTTCTGTTGCTCATGCACAGGGTCTGGCACATAGTTGGCAGCCAGTAAATGCTTGTTGAGAATGTGATTGATTGAATGAATCAATCAATAAAGGACGAGAAAAAGAATTTTTTGTTGTTGTTTTTAGTACAACTGGGGGAGAAAAACAGTAAAATAGGTCTTTAGGTCTAATATTGATTTTTAGCCCTGCTAAGTTATTTCTTAGACTCTTATCCCTCAGTTGGGGAAAATGAGAAGAGTTCAAGGCTTTCATGAAGATTTTAAAGTAGTAAACCATCCCTTTTTGGGCTCCAGGTGGAGACTGTGAAGTGTCACCATCCTCTTATGAATGTCCTACCCGTGGAGACACTCCTGAATTACCAATCCACCAGATTCCAAATAATGAATTTCCCATGCTACAACTGAATAACACGAACGTCCTGTCTCATCTTATTGCTCAGAGGAGGATAAAGTGCTAGAGGATCTGAATTGTTAACGCTAGTACAACAGAGGGATTAGACTCTCTTATCTAGATCTGCCACCAACACGGGTAAATGGCCCCAGAAAGGTGATGGTTATTTAATAACTGTAGTGAATTGCATTGTTCTCCTGCTTAAGTTTGAAAAGATGGAATTGAAAATACATCCTGTTTATACCTTATGATGTTAAAGAATTGAACATTCTTTTATCTGATCATTCTCGATAGCTCCAAAGGCATGGAATTACAGGTCATTTAGCCAACAACGTTTGATTGATCATCTAATTGTTCGAGGCACTGTTCTGTGGGCTGAGGGAAATTCACAGGCAGAAGCTTCAATCTGGTGGGGGCAGCAATAATCCAAATACGTGGTGAAGTACAAGGTGCTGGGGGCGTTAGAAGAGGGAGTCACGGCAGCAAGTACCTGCCCTTTTTTCCTTCCCTTCCCCTTCCTTTCTCCTGTCCTTTCGTCTTTCCACTAACATTTGTGCCTCTGGTTTCCAGGCTCTGAGGCACACTCCGGGCACGAAGCAGCCCCTACACACAGAGCTCACCTTTCGGGAGGGAGGGCAGAAGACAAACACATACACAAACAAATCACGTAACGGGGGTGCTGGGAGGAAAAGAAAATAGGGAGATGTAGTAGTGACCAAAGGGTTACTGTGGGTTTGGTGGCCCTGGAAGATTCTGAGGAGGTGAGCCAGCCCCACAGAGATCCCAGGATACTGCATTTCCCACATTCAAAAGAACTATGGCAAAGGTCTAGAAGCAGGAAAAGCAGCAGGAAGATAGTGAAGCAGGGGTAACACCTGGCACAGCAAGGGCCTTCAGGGCCCCACTCCAGTGCTGCTAGCCACAGATATCTGTTCTGATTTCTTGATTTCATTGCCTTTCTAGTACTTCTGACTTATATTCTGAGAAAAGAATGATCGTATCAAACATTAATTGAGCAATTAGTGTGTGCCAGGCACTGTACCAGGCACTTTACATATACCAAGTCGTTTTATCTTCCCATTGCCTCTGTGAAGTAGTAGTGTTATTCTTATTGAGAAAACTGAGGTTCAGAGAAGTTAAGTAACTTGTCTGAAACCACACAGTTCTTTAGTAGCAAGTCCAGGATTAGAATCACCAGTTCTGTCTCCAAAGTCTTTGCTCTTAACTTCTAGCCTTGAGAGAGGCTTGGAGAAGAGCCCAAGCTGCATACTGGGAAGAATGGCTGGTGTGTATGTGGTGTGTAATTGTGCGTAAGGCAGGGCAGGGGTCAGAGAGGGAAGAGCTGTGCTTGCTGATCAAGAAGACTGTGGGGGCTTCCCTGGTGGCACAGTGGTTGAGAGTCCACCTGCCGATGCAGGGGACGCAGGTTCGTGCCCCGGTCCGGGAAGATCCCACATGCCGCGGAGCGGCTGAGCCCGTGAGCCATGGCCGCTGAGCCTGCACGTCCGGAGCCTGCGCTCTGCAACGGGAGAGGCCACGACAATGAGAGGCCCGCATACAGCAAAAAAAAAAAAAAAAGACTGTGGGACCCAAACACCCAGAAGACCCTTTGTGAGATGCTGCCTAAAACATGTCACTGTTGATGTTTTAGTAGCCCAGGTATCCCTTTTCTCTCGAGTTTTCAAGAATTGGACTTATCTGCCAACAGAAAGATGGGCAGCTCTTCTGAAAAACTACTCAGCAGGCTCTGATTTTTACCAGCACTGAAGCCATTGTTAATCAACAACTGTGCTTTGGAAAGTGAGACTTTTACTGCCCTGGGTCAGAGCATTCCCCAAATCCCTGCAGGCACTGGTACCATAACATCTGAGAGGGGAGGCCTCTCTTTGCCTACAAATGAATGCTCAGCTGTAGGCAACGTAAAGTATTAATTTGTCTTTCTTTCAGGAAATATGCTCTCTTGAAACTGACTTTCAAAGCCACATGAATGATTTCTAGCATTGTAAATTTAAAATTTAAAGTGTACACAGTTGGCCCTTTGTAACCATGGGTTCCAAATCCGTGGATTCAACTGACAGCAAATCAAAAATATTTGGAAAAAAATTTCCGGAAAGTTCCAAAAAGCAAAACTTGAATTTGTCTCATTCAGGCAACAATTTACACAGATAGCATTTACATTGTAATAGGTATTATAAGTAATCTAGAGTTGATTTAAAGTATATGGGAGGATGTGCATAGGTTATACGCAAATACTGTGCCATTTTATATAAGGGACCTGAGCTTCCATGGATTTTGGTGTCTGCAGGGTGTCCTGGAAACAATGCCCCTGTGGATACGGAGGGACGGCTGTATAACCAATTCTGAAGGCTCACATTCCTGGTAACTTGTACAGTATAATTTGGAATTGCTGGAAAGGGAGGCGTTTACTTAGTGTGTGAGCCTAGCTGGCTGCCTAGCACCTAGTCCCAACGGGGTTTGTTGTCCTCTGTCAGGAATCTTGGTGTGCCTGAAGACCATGGATACAGCCTGGCCTACATCAGGGATTTACTAAATCTGACATTTCTGCCTATGCTGGGGCGAGGGCACTGTCAGCGAGTAGAGGGAGACATTTTGAGGCAAAGGGACTTTGCCCAATTTTCCCAAATATACCACCCAGGCATCCAACACTTTAAGCACATGGTGCCAGGGGTCCTCAACCACATCCAGCTTCAGTGATTCACTGGAGGGACTCACAGATCTCACCGCTGAGATTTATTACAACAAAGGGATACAAAGCAAAATCAGCAAAGGGAAACATGCATGGGGCAGAGTCCAGAGGAAACCAGGCCCAAGCTTGCAAGATTCCTTTCCCAGCAGAGTAACAAGGATGCGCTCCGTTCCTGCAGCATGTTGTGACGTCATGGTCTGAAATGTGTCCTGGGAAGGCTCGTCTGAACCTTCAAGTTCAGGGTTTTTAGTGGGGCTTGGTCATGCAGGCACCCTCTACGAAGCACATACCAAAATTCCAGACTCACAGAAGGAAAGCTAGTGTTCAGCATAAATCATCTTATTTGTACGCAAACACTGTAGGCACGACGAACCACCCTTATAAGTTAGGGAATGGTGACGACACTTCCAAGTTCCCAGATGTCAGCCAAGGGCCAACCTTGCCAGCAGGACTTTGTACGGATAGTGGTCTCAGGCCTGCTAGGTTAACTCTGTTTTGTACACATGCGCAAGACTAGTGTGGTTGGATTCTGGTGCTTCCTGGGTAACAGTGAAAACAGAGCCCTTCTCTCTGGCCTTCCCTCAAGGGTTATGTTTGTTGACACTCCCTTAAAAATGAATTGTCCTATGGACCCAAGAGGGCTATTATTAATGAAAAAGAGGCATTCTATTAATAAAAAATAACAAGTAGTTATTTATTAATATCTGTTAATAAAAATAAGTACATATAATTTATCCCAAATTCTAAGAACTCTCTATTTAAGGTATTCTTGCTCTCCTTTTCATCCCAAGTATTCTGTTCGACCCACAGGGTCTTGGTCCTTGCCATGTACTGCTCCCAGCCCTCCCCCAGCACTGCTCATCTCATTGGCCACGTGTCTGGATGGGGAAAAGTAGCAGGATATGTACGTCTCTTAACCTGAGGTCCACGGCTCCTCCCTTAAGAGAGTCAGTCTATAGTTATGCCTGGGCAGGGGGCTGTGAACTCCCTAAAACTGATTCCAATTCTTTTGTTGGTGGGGAATGTATGGTACATTTTTCTGGCTCCAAAGCACCTGGGATCAGACATCTGAAAGCAAATCCTGGCTCTGGCTCTCATGACCTGAGGTACTTAACAACTCTGTGCTTCAGTTTCCTTGTCTGTAAATGGAATGATAGGATCATATCTCATAGGGTTATAAGAATTAAACAGGTTATTACATATGAAATTCTTGGAAATGTGCCTGGCTCATAGTAAATGCTCAATATATGCCAGTTGTGAATATTATTATGGGGAGAGAGTCTATAAATTTTACTTAAAAAGTAAATTTGGGGACTTCCCTGGCGGTCCAGTGGTTAAGACTCCACACTTCCACTGCAGGGTTGCAGGTTCCATCCCTGGTCAGGGAACTGAGATCCCACATACCACACGGTGTGGAAAAAAAAAAAAAAGTAAATTTTATTGTAAAAGCCAGCGGTTGCCTGGAGAACCTCCGGTAAAATCCAGATTCCTTCATGTGATCTAACAGGCCCCCTGGCGGCTCTCCCCCTTGCTCCCTGAACCCAGCCTCAGTTGGCTTCCTTCTGTTCCTTCATATCACCGAGCTCTCTCCTGCATTTGACCTTCCTGTCCTCTAGAATTCCCTACCCCCCAGTCTTTCCTGGGGAGCTCTGATTGCAGGTCTCAGTGTAAATGTCCCCTTTTAAGACAGCCTCTCTCTGAATTAGAAGTCCCTGTATCTTCCTTATAGCCTTTATCAGTATTTATAATTATGTATTTACTTGTGTGGTTTTTTAATGTTGATACTTCTCCCAGATTGTTACCCTCTTGAGGGCAGGGATTGTGTTTATTCTTCACTGCATCCTTCAAAGCACATTTTCGGTATTAGTTAAGTAAGTCAGTAAGTAGATAGGCAGGTTAGTAGATAGATAGACAGACAGACAGACAGACAAATTTCTCAAAGGGGGCTATAATCCCCAAAATGGCTAGGTAAACACACACACACACACACACACACACACACATACCCCACATTCCACTGCTCAGACTAATGTTGTTAGGAAAATTCCACAAAAAATAAATTTGGGGACAACATGAGATTTCATAAATATACTTCCTAGATGGAAAATGTTGAATATTTTAAAATAAACTTTTGTTTTTAACTTTGTGTCTTCTGCCATCAGAAGGCACAACTCTTTTCAATTATAGCTACACAATCAATGGATCATAATCAAGTAGATATTACACAAAATTACATCATCTGACATAAATCTTTAGACAGTCCCTGACTTACAGCGGTTTGACTTCACACTTTTCGACTTTAAGGTGGTGTAAAAGCAATACACCAGTAGAAACCATACTTAGAATTTTGAATTTTGATCTTCTCCCGGCCTAGTAATATATACGTGGTGCAATACTCATGCCATCACGAGGGTAAACTTAACAATCACTCTGTACCCAGACAACCACTCTGTTTTTCACTTTCAGTATGGTATTCAATAAATTACATGAGATATTCAACATTTTAGTATAAAATAGGCTTTGTGTTAGATGACTTTGCCCAACCATGGGCTAATATAAATGTTCTGAGCATGTTTAAGTAGGCTAGGCAAAGTTATGATGATCAGAAGGTTAGGTGTATTAAACTCATTTTTTACTTAAGATATTTTCAACTTATTGGGACGTAACCCCACTATAAGTCGAGGGAGACCTGTTTAATTCAATTTGAATTAAGAAGTAAATCAACAATAAAAAAAAGAAGTAAATCAAGTAAATACATATTTCTCTGCATCACTTTGAGAAAATAAAGTTCAATTTCTTATTGATACGTCTCTGTACCATAGGAGTGGGAGGGTGCTCTTGTTAGATATTATAAAAAGAATATATATCTACCCTTCAAACGGATATTATTTTTTAGAAAGAAGGAAGAATAGTTTAAAATGTAATTAGTGGCTATACCTCGTGGATAAGTTGCTCTGGTTAATTTTTTTTTTTTTTTTTTTTTTTTGAGGTACGCGGACCTCTCACTGTTGTGGCCTCTCCCATTGCAGAGCACAGGCTACGGACGTGCAGGCTCAACGGCCACAGCTCACGGGCCCAGCTGCTCCGCGGCACGCGGGATCTTCCCAGACCGGAGCACGAACCCATGTCCCCTGCATTGGCAGGCGGACTCTCAACCACTGCGCCACCAGGGAAGCCCTCTGGTTAATTTTAATGTTAGGGGAAACCGAGAACTAAGCAGAAAATCTTTGAATTTCCTTTAAAAATCTTTCCAATATACACTATTTCCCTTCTTTGTCTCTGTTAACTGCAGTTAAGTAAACACAAATACATTTTGGTGTTTCAGAGTTCTAGGGAGGTTTGGCCTTGTCTCTGAATTTCAGCAGCAACCAGGACATGTAAAACCAGGACACACTCTGGAAATCGTGACTAACTGTGAAAACTGTTCATCTCTTTCTCCCTCTTAAATGTGAAGTGAAGGAAAGAAATCCCAGTCAATAGTGAATTCCATTTAATCAAGTTTTTTAAACTTTTATTTGTTTATTGGCTGCGTTGGGTCTTCATTGCTGCATGTGGGCTTTCTCTAGTTGCAGAAAGCTGGGGCTACTCTTAGTTGCGGTGCGCGGGCTTCTCATTGCGGTGGTTTCTCTTGTTGTGGAGCATGGGCTCTAGTCGCACAGGCTTCCGTAGTTGTGGCACGGGGGCTCAGTAGTTGTGGCTCGCGGGCTCTGGAGCACAGGCTCAGTAGTTGTGGCGCACGGGCTTAGTTGCTCTGCGGCATGTGGGATCTTCCTTGACCAGGGCTTGAACCCACGTCCCCTGCATTGGCAGACAGATTCTTAACCACTGCGCCACCAGGGAAGTCCCCATTTAATCAAGTTTTACTTTTCTAAAGTTTCCAACATTTCTCCCCAATAAAAATAGACAACATAAATTGAGGCCATGAATTTCAGGCAGGAGAAACGGTCTCTACAACTGTCTTAACCTCACTGATAGAAATATGTTGCCCTAGCCTAGGTTCCTCAAATTCAAGGCTTATGGCCTCTAAGGAAACCTAAATTATTGCTATTCTTATCACTGTCAATTTCAGCTGAAGCCTGCGTTCACCTCCCTGCTCTGGAAATAGTCAACCTTTCTTGGAATAAGTGTGTTGGCTGCTCCTGGAAACGCTAAAGCTTTCAACGTCCCTTCAGGTGCTGAGGCTGAGCAGCTGTTCCCTGGTGACAGAGGACGTGGCTCTTCTGGGTTTTACCTACTGGTTCCATCCAAAGCAGTCCTGGCACTCAGAGCCCAGTGCGCCTGCTCTGGCAGTCCAGGACAAGGGAGGTGGAGAAGGCAGCGAGGCCTGGAGCTAAGCCCTCTGCGCATCTTCCCTGCTCCCTGACATCTGCTTAGGAGAGAGCTTGTTAAAACAGATAAGGGCAATTCTGAAACCAAAAAGACAGTGGAGAGTGTTTCATAAAAGGAGATGGAGGAATTTCCCTGGCGGTTCAGTGGTTAGGACTCCACGCTTTCACTCCCGGGGGCGAGGGTTCGACCCCTGGTTGGGGAACTAAAATCCCACAAGCCATAAGGTGCGGCCAAACATTAAAAAAAAAAAGAAGAAAAAAAAAAAAAAGAAGATAGACATAGATATGGTGGTGGAAGAAGGAGGATTAACTGATGTAGAATAGAAAGTTGGAACACTGGATGTGGAGGGGTGGGGCTCCTTGTCCTTGAGAGGTGTGTGCATGTGTGGATTTTGCTTACGCCTGTACCCACCTTGGCTCAGCTGGGTGCAGTTTTCTGTGTTCACCTACTGTTTCCTGTGGATAAATTATGCATAAGCAAACAAGAAATTTGTGTTACGTTCACACTGTTCTCTGATATTTCAATCTAGTTGGAACAAATATGTGTTTTCAAAGCAAGTGTTATGGCCAAACACTGTAATTAGAAGATGTGGACAAATCATTGTGATTTTATTTTGCATTTCCCTAATGACAGTGAGCATGTTTTTATGTGTTTATGTGTTTATCTGTGTTTATCTGTAAACTGCATATATGCCTTGATGAAGTGTCTGTTCTAATCTTTTGCCTAATTTAAAACACTAGATAGTTTGTTTTCTTCTTAATGAGAGTTCTTTAGATTTTCTGGATACAAGTCTTTTAGCAGGTCTATAGCTTGCAAATATTTTCTCTCAGTCTGTAACTTGTCTTCTCAACCCCTTAACAGTATCTTTTGCACAGCACGACTTCCAGTGTTTGTTTGTTTTTTTTAATATTTATTTATTTGGCTGTGCCGGGTTTTAGTTGCAGCATGCGGGACCTTTGTTGCAGCGTGAGGGAGCTTTTAGTGTGGCATGCGGGATCTAGTTCCCTGACCAGGGATCAAACCTGGCCCGCTGCATTGGGAGTGCAGAGTCTTAACCACTGGACCACCAGGGAAGTCCCAAGACTTTCAGTTTTGATAAAGATCTATTTGTCTATTTGCTAATTTGATGGATAGAGCTTTCTGTGTTGCATCTTAGAACTTTTTGCAAAACCCAAGTTCTCAGGGATTTTTCCTAGATCTTCTTCTAAAAGGTTTACATTTATATTTTACATTTTGACTTATTATCCATTTTGAGTATTCTTGTACAAGGCATGAGATATGGGCTGAAAAGATTTTTGCATACGACAGCTCAATTATTCAAGCACCACTAATTGAAAAGACTCATTGAATTGCCTTCGCATTTTTGTCAGAAATCAATTGGCCAGTTTGTGAGGGTCTATTTTTGGTCTGTTCTGTTCCATTGGTCTATGCATCTATTCTTTTACTGATACCATACTGTCTTGATTACTAAAGCTTTATAGTAAGCCTTGAAATCAGGTAGCATGGGCATTCTGACTTTGTTCTTCTTTTTCAAAATCATTTTGGTTATTCTAGTTTCTTGACATTTCTATATAAATTTTAGGGTCAGCTAGTCAATATCTACAAAAAATCCCTCTGGAATTTTGATTGGGATTGCATTGAATCTATAGGTAAATGCAGGGAGAAATGACATTTAACTATATTGAGCACTCCTATCCATGAACACAGTATATCTCTCTTTTTATTTAGGTCCTCTTTGATTTACTGCATTGGTGTTTTGTAGTTTCTACCATGCAGATCCTGCATATACTTTGTTAAATTTATATCTAAGTATTTAATTTTTTGGTGCTATTATAAATGGTACTGGTTTCTAAATTTTGATTCCCAATTGGTCATTGCTAGTATGTAGAAATACAATTGATTTTCATATATTGACATTTTATACTGAGACCTTGTTAAACTCATCTATTAGTTCTATGAGATTTTTGGTAGATGCTGTAGGATTTTCTACGTAGGCAATCATGTCATCTATAATTAGAGTCAGCTTTATTTCATCCTGTCCAGTCTCTATACCTTTTATTCCTTTTTCTTGGTTATTTAACTGGTTAGGATTTCCAGTAGGTGTTGAATGAGGTGAGAGCAGACATCCCTGCCTTGTTCTTGATATTGGGGGGAAAGCACTCAGTCTTTCCCATTTAGTATAATGTTAGCTATAGGTTTTTGTTTGTGTTTTGTAGATGTGCCCTTTATCAGGTAAAGGAATCCTAACCTGGCTAGATTTCTTATAATGAATTGAAGATGGTTTGTTGAGGATGTTTGTGGCTATGTTCACGAGAGGTAATTGCCTACTAGTTTTTTTGTAATATCTTTGTCTGGCTTTGGTATCAGGGTAATAATGACCTCAGAAAATGAGTTGGCAAGTGTTCCTGCCTCTTCTATTTCCTGGAAAGATTTTGTAGACTTGGTATTATTTTTTCATTAACTTGAAACTTTATAGAATTGACCACTGAACCTGTCTAAACTTGGAGTTTTCTTTGTGAGGAGGTTTAAATTACAAATTCAGTTTAAAAAATAGATATAGCACCATTCAGGTTATCTTTTTCTTCTTGAGTTTTGGTACTTTGTGTCTTCCAAGGAATTGGCCCATTTTACTTAGGTTGAATTTATGGAAATAAAGTTGTTTTCTTATAATCCCGTTAATGTCTCCTAATCATTTTGACTACTTCTTCTGTGACCTCCTTCCTCTTCAACCACCTGCTGGAGAAAATTCTCTGCTTTTAAAGGGCTCCTGTGAGTAGGTTAACCTCGCTTGGGTCTGCGTTTCTTAAACTCAGGTGTGCCATGTAATATAACCCAATCATGGGAACCCATCATATACACAGTCCTAGGAATTAGGGTGGAAATCTTGGGGTCACCTTAGAATTCTGATTACCACAAGAGGTTTATCAATATTACCAATCTTCTCAAAGAATAAGCCTTTGGTTTTTTTTGTTTTCCTGACCTGGACACCATTAAACATATTTAAATTATTTCATTTAAAGTTATTAAAATTTGCTTCTTCAATTTTTTATTTTTTTGGTCTGCATCATATTTTATTAATCATAGCTCCAGCCATTATATATTGTTTCTTAATTTTTACTACCAGGTTTTCTTCCTCAGGTCAAATTTATACTTTTACATTTTGTCAAGGGTATTTTTTGTTCTTTCAATTTTTAGTCAATGATAAGTATTGCTGTGTGTGGCTTTAAGCATTGTCACTTAACTGTTTTGATTATTTCTAATAGAAACTTTAAGAATTTGTTAATCCCTAGTAGTTTGTGTTTTATTCTTTTGTAAATAACAGCATTGGTTTTTTTTCATATAGTAAGCTACAAAAATAGTATTTTCATGACCTATGATACTATTACCCAGATTTTAAAAAATATAACGCATATAAAATACTAAAATATAATAAACAGAGTACTCACATCATTGGAAAATTCAGGTAGTATAGGAAAGGTAAAACAATGTCTGAGATTTGCTTTAAAATACTAAAAAACAAACAAACAAAAATTAGGGGAAGGGGACTGGATGAGCCAAGATCAGTGTAATGAAAATAGCGTTGAAGCTGATTAATGGGAACATGGGAGTTCTCACTCCTATTCCATCTACTTTTTATATGTTTGAAAATGTCTGTAATAGAAAATTTTCTAAAGGGAAAAAGCATGCACATTATCTTTAACACTTAGCTAGGTCTTGAGAACATGGTGAGTAATGTTCTGAGACAGAAAGATAGGAAGGGACACGATCAACATGAACACCTAGGGACCAAATGCAGCTGTTGAGTGTCCTGACCGGGATGATGAAAATGATGGGGATGGAGCATCCCACTTGGTGTGGAAGCCATGATGTGTGAGGAATGATTGAAGGACCAGGGCGTGTTGAAGCCTATAGGGGGGACATTTGAGGGGACCTGACTGTTGTCCAACACTGCATGGTTGGCACGAGGAAGGAGCTGAGGTTCCCAGCAGGCTGAGGTGGGCAGTGGGGAAAGTCAGATAGGGCCTAGAGGCATGGCTTCCTCCTGCTGAGAGTTGCTTCCCTCTGTTGGGGCAACCTGAAGAGGGACTTCAGGCCCTCTGTTGGGCTGGTCCCCAGTAGAGAAGCTGTGAGAGGGATTTCTCTCTGATCATTGATCAGGTTGAATGAGGAGCCCTCCAAGGTCCCTTCCAACTCTGAGATTCTACACATCTCATCTCTGTAATCCATTCCTGTTTTTGGCTGAAAAGGGAAGCATGTCCTGTCTGCTTTGGCTGTCTCTCCTAACTCCTTTTCTTAGCTTCATCATTAACTGTTATTTATTGAGAGCCATTATGGGTAGTACTGTGATATGTGCTATTCAAAGGAAAACTTGATCCATGTATTAAAGTCTCTAATTGACCCATGAATTAGAAATTATCCAAGCATATTTTGCCCATGGAAAGTGCTCAATTAAATAACTGTTGAATGAAGAACAAATAAGCAATGAATAGTTAAACAGCATTAAACAGCAAGAAAACTATTCAGAAATGGTCCTGAGTTAAAGCCAGTGAGCCATCACCCTTCCCCTTTAATTAGAGAAAGTCTGCAGTAAGAGTTGGGACTCCAGTGGAGCAGAGAGCAGGAACTCGACAAAAAAGACACTCTTTGGAATGGGATTTGGAAAGAGAAAGAAAAATCCATTTTCAAGCTGTACATGAAATGCAGAAAGGAAATTTGTTACTAGAGTAATTTCAGATGCCCTGAATAAAACTGCTAGCTAATAACATTTCATTACTAAGTATCAGTCTTGTCATTACGAATCCTGGAGCAACTGTGTTGTGTTATTGGAAGTGGGAAATGGTCACACTAGAAAGTATCCTTGGCTTTTAGCATTTAGAGTGATTTTGTTTTTCAGCATCGGTAATCCAGACAGGTCACCTGCCCAGGCTGCGGAAGCTGGACCTGAGCTATAATGACAGCATCTGTGATGCAGAATGGACCATCTTCTGCCAAAACCTGTGGCTCCTCAAAGAGTTAACCGAGCTGGATATTAGCCTTCAGCCATCAGCTTTTCAGGAGCGTGGACAATGGTTTTAGACACTTGTTATGTGCCGTGACCAAACTTCCTGAGATCACCGAGATAGGAATGAAGAGGTGGATCCTCCCAGCCTCACAAGAGGAAGAACTAGAAGGCTTTGACCAAGATCACAAAAGCAGCATTCACTTTGACCATGGTGGGTTTCAGGAAGCTGACTTCTCAAGGCTCAACTAAGCTACACACCATCCTAAGGGGGAGGAAAAGAACAAGAGTGAATCCCGGTGAAATCAAGGAGTACCAGCTTCTGGGCTGTTTGGTGGGGTTTACAGTACAAGAGCTTTGTAAATATATATTGTCTATAATAATCTAATGTGAGCATGTCTTTATTCTCTATTTTATAAAACAAGAATGATATTTTTCAATGGATTTTCATTTGTTTTGATATAGAGTTAGTTCACTTGCTGTTTAGAAGCCCTGACAAAAATGCTTAGATTCTGGTACTGCATCTCCCTTTGTCTTGCCCTGGAATTTTCTGCCTCTCTTTTCCTAAATATTTTAAATATAAGGGTGTGTGTTTATGTGTATGTGCGTGTGTGTGTGAAATTCTAATGTGAAAGGCACAAACTGTGGAACATTTTCATATTCTTTACCATTATACGTATCTTAATGTGGTCCACTCACATTTTTATCAGAAAGTATTCCTTTCAGTGGTATATTATTTTTTGTTCTCTTGGCTTTTATCTCAGATATAAACTATGAACACTAATAATGGCCACTGACATACAAATCTTCATTAAAAGTGGTCGAAAATTCAAAACCCAGTATCAAAAAATACCTTGTGAAAATAAAGTAAAATATTTTATTGCTAAAATAAACAAATTAACATATTACCTCTGAGCATTTCTTTGGCATGGAATTTGCCACATAAAACCTACTTAACTCATTAAAGTTTCTGTGCTGCTCTAAGTGATTTTTGGAATTTTTTATTTTTCTCTTACTAGAGCATGAAATTCATTGCATGGCAGAGGGGTCTGTTCACACATTTCTATTCTGATATGCTCCAGTCAAGTTATGTTTTGCTTTCTTCTTGCTACACTAATAATTCATACTGCAATCATTGCTTGAAAGACATGTAGAATTTGAAATCAATACCTCTCTAAAAGAAAAAGTCATCATGGGAATTCCCTGGCAGTCCAGTGGTTAGGACTCACTGCTTTCACTGCTGTTGGCCTGGGTCCAATCCCTGATCAGGAAACTAAGATCCCACAAGCCATACAGTGTGGCCAAAAAAAAAAAAAAAAAGGGTGAGGAGATCTTGAGTGGTATAAATGGGGATGTTTTAGGTAATGATTCTTCACTTCTTTCAGCATTCCCATGAATTCCATGAACACCTGTGCTCATGCAAAACCCTATGAACAAATGTTCATAGCAGCTTTATTCATACTAGCCAAAAACTGGAAACAGAGCAACACCCTTCAAAGGGTGAATGGTGAAACAAACTATGCAATACTACTCAGCAACCAGAAAGGAATGAACTATTGACACTTGCACTACTTGGATGGACTGGAAGTGAATTATACAGTATAAAAAGGCCAGTCCCCAAATGTTACATACTATGTGATTTCATTTACATGATCTTCTTGAAATAACAAAATTACAGGTTAGGGATTGGAAGAGGGGTAGGTGGTAGGTGTGACTAAAAGCAATAGCACAAGGGAGACTGGTGGTGATTGATAGAACAATTCTGTATCTTGACTGTGGTGGTGGCTTCACAAAAGCTACATGTAAGAAAATTGCATTGGACTACACACACTCACACACACAGACACACACACGCACACACACGAAAGTGCATGTATAAGTGATGGAATCTGAATAAGCTCTGTGGCTGGTAGTGAGGTCCATTTTCTGGTTTTGTTACTATACTATAGTTACGTAGGATGTCAACACTGAGGGAGGGTGAAGGGTGCATGGACCTCCCTGTACATTTCTTTGGAACCTCCTGTGAATTATTTCATAATTAAAAGTTTTAAAAGTAGACATGATAGTACAGTGAACCTCCATGTACCTATCACATGCTTCTTTTTGGCCAATCTTGTTTCAGTTGGATTCTTCACATTTACCTCTCCCTGATATTATTCTGAAGCAATTCCCAGGCATCATAGCATTTTTATCCATCAACATTTCAGTAAAAGAACCTTTATTTTTATATATAACCATAACTCTGTGAATAATTTTTGTGTGGTAGGCATCTAATTCCTAGAGATTCTTAATCCATCAGGGTTCATTACCTCAATTCATACATTTATAGAATTATTTCTTATTTTTCTTGACAGATTTTCCTTTTACATCCTGCTTTCCTTTCTTATCTTTTGGAGAATTCCTCCCCTTCTTTTGCAATTTTAGCAGTTCTTCAAATTTCCCAAATCCTTTGCGTACCATTATTCCACGCCACCATGCCTGAATCTGAAAACAAGAACAGCATCAGCTCGTACCACAGTGGACCGGGGATGGTTACAGCTCTTTGTTCTGGTATGTAGTTTTCAAGATGTGGAGAATGAATGTCACTAGAACTCTGAACCTTATTTTCTCTCTTTCTCACTTGGCCAGTCATCCAGGCAAAGCATTTTTCAAGTATTTGGTGCTTTATGTTCTAGACATTTGGGAAACAGCAGTTAAATACCAATGTCACTGACTCTGCGGAACTCACATCCCAGTGAGGGGAATAGACGATAAACAATAAACACATGACTGTATAATTTGCCAGATGGCGGAGGTGACAGTGCACAGCAAGGGGAATGGGTATCCCTGTACCCTGCCTTCCTCTTGTTCCTGGACTACCTGCGCTCCTACCTACAGGTGGCCCTTACCTGTTCTTGAGATCCTATTCCTTCGCACCTACTCAGGAAATCTCTTCTCTAGTAGACTCTTCGAACCTGCCAGTGGCTCCCTGTTTCTCTCAGAATAAAAACTCAAGTCCTGGCCTCTCACCTTCTGAGATGGCCCACACTCTGTCTGTGGAGTGTGTTTCTACCAAGGTCATTTTCACCTCTTGAGATGGACGGCATTCTGTCTATGGAATGTGTATCTCTCTAAATAAATCCACGTCTTAAACAAAAACAAACAAACAAACAACCACCACCCCCCAAAACTCAGGGCCTTGCAATGGCTTACAAAGCCCTATCCAATCTGCCCCTCCCTCCTGATCTCTTAACTCTCTCCCCCTTGCTCACTTGCTCCAGCAATGCAGACACACGCAGGCACTGCTCCAGCTCAGGGCCTTTGCCTTTACTGCTTCCTCTGTCTGGAACACTCTTCCTAATACTCAGATGGTTCACCCCTCCACTTCTTCAAGAATTTGCTCAATTGTCATTGCTATGGACTGAATTGTCTATGGACTGAATTGTGTCCCCTGCTCCCGCAATTCGTATGTTGAAAAGCCTTAATGCCCAATGTGGTGGTATTTGGAGATTGGGCCTTAGAAGGTAATGAGGTTAGATAAGGTCATGAGGGTGAGGCTCTCATGATGCAATCAGTGCTCTTGTAAGAAGAGACATCAGAAAGCTTGCTCTTTCTCTGTCATGTGAGGACACGGTGAGAAGGCAGCCGTTTGCAAGGCAGGAAGGGAGCTCTCACCAGAAACTGACCATGCTGGCACCATGGACCATCCCGGACTTCTAGCCTCCAGAACTGTGAGAAAATAAGTTTCTGTTGTTCAAGCCACCCAAGCTATGATATATTGTAATGGCTGCCTGAGCTAAGACAGTCATTTTCCCAATGAGGCCTACCCTGACCATCTCATTAAATTGAAACCCTTATAAATCTAAAAAAAAAAAAAAAAGATGCAAATGAACTTATTTACAAAACAGAAAGAGACTCACAGACTTAGAAAACAAATTTATGGGGCTTCCCTGGTGGCGCAGTGGTTGAGAATCTGCCTGCCAATGCAGGGGACACGCATTCGAGCCCTGGTCTGGGAGGATCCCACATGCCGCAGAGCAACTGGGCTCGTGAGCCACAACTACTGAACCTGTGCTCTAAGCCCGCAAGCCACAACAGCTGAGCCCATGTGCTGCAACTACTGAAGCCTGTGCACCTAGAGCCTGTGCTCCTCAACAAGAGAAGTCACCGCAATGAGAAGCCCACCTACCATGACGAAGAGTAGCCCCTGCTCGCCGCAACTAGAGAAAAGCCTGCACGTAGCAACGAAGACCCAACGCAGCCAAAAATAAATAAATGTATTAAAATAATAATAATAATTGATGTTGGCTCTAAAGACTGGGTAACCAATGCTTTTATAAGTCAGGTGGTTTCCGGCTCTTTGCCTTCAAGAAAAGTGAAGTTAATTTGTCAGCTTAGAGCCTGCTATCTATTTTGGGGGATATATCTGGAAGAAGTTCAGAGATATGTGAGGCCCTGTCACTTAAAACAAAACAATATAGGCAAAAAAAACCACCTTTTTCCATTCTTGTCAACTTAAGAATTTAAATGAGGTTTCTCATCTGTAAAATAAAAAATAAGAATGGAACTGATGCCAAACTTTATCTCATTCTAGCAATAATTAATAGTTATGCAAGGATGTATAAACTATGTGAAAAAGTCTTACCAAAACTCCTGTAAGTCAAATAATTAAATATCAAAATTTATAATAGATTTTATATTGTTTTGGTCAATTTTATACTACTACTAATTTCACTAAGACTCAATCCAGAACATTACAACACTGTGATCATAGAAAAAAATTTTAATTTAAAATTTTAATTTATATAAATATTTTTGTAGCCTAGAAGTATGAGGTGATCCGTAAATGACATACACACACACACACACACACACACACTAAGTTTAATTCTGAGGGGAAAGTGGAATGGAAATACACGTTCAAGAAGAAAAAGAAATGACATAAAATTTTTGCATGTAAGATAACTTGTTTACTGACATACCAAATCATAATGGTACTTAGATTCCATTGGATACATTTAAAATACTGATATAACAACTCTATTTTAAGATGTCAGTATGTAAAATTCACTGGAAAGTAAATCCTTTGCAATGATTTAAACTTAGTGACAAAAAAGGTTAAATATCAATTTTAAAATGTGCAAGAGGGTGCATGGCTTTTCAAAATGCTTTTAAGAAGTATCCCCCAAATATTATTTTCATTCCTGAGTATATACATATTAAAATTAATATTTTAACATAAACTTTTTTCCTTTATGTTGCAGCTCGGGCAT